ATGGTCTCCAGCCCCTCCAAACCTAGAACGCGAAGAGATTAAACCTCCACCACCACCTCGGCGACCAGCTGAAGGGCAATCTCTAGCCCAATGCCCTGAACGCCCACACTTGAAGCACTCATCTTGTCCAGCAGGTCTGTCTCCTCCCCCATAGCCTCCCCTGCTTCCAGATGAGTAGCCTCCCCTGTAGCCATGATCTGAATCATCTCCTCCTATTTTAGGTTGGGCCTTGTTCACTGAGATGACACGGTCGCCAAAGTCCCGTCCATGCATCTCTCTGATAGCATCGTCCATGGCTCGACGATCCGCAAATGTAATAAAGCCAAATCCACGTGGACGGCCTGTATCTCTTTCCAACATCACCTGAAGAAACACCAAATAGGAAAACGTGATACGGCAGGCAATTATATGAATGTAAGAAAATCAGGCAGTGGCTGAAGTGCAATAATCATACTATGCAAAGGATGATGCAAAAACACTTTTTATCTGATGCATATTGAACATGAAGGGCTAGAATGTATATATATACTGCTATACAGTGAATTCACTTTATCATTTTAGCAGTGTCAGGAAAACCTGAAGCTGTGCATACTTGAAGCAGGAGATGATGAAAGATCAATCAATTCAGGTGAAACATGCTGGAGAACACCAGCTGATGCGATTGGATTATTACATGAAGAGAATAAGAGGATCCTATATGCTGTCTCATGCTATTTAGGAGATACTATTTCTCTTAAAACAATTATCAGACTAGAGAGAGCTTTTAGATTGGACTGTACCAACACAGTACATTACTCCCTTTATTTCGCTATGTTGGTCCATTTTCCTTTCAGCACAATGATCAAGGACCAGCATTGAATACACTTCATAAGTACTCATTTTTATTCTTAAATCTTGACATTAGACTATCAACTATGGAAAAATTTTGGGACAACAAAAGGAAGTGGATTTGGGACAACAAAACAGTTCAGGAAGTAACAATAATGGGTGACGAATATCACTCCAACTTAAAACTACAGAACACAAAAATAACTTCAGTTCACCATCTGTAAGCAAACCTGCAATACTGATGCAAAAGCACATAAGTTAAAGTACATGACTGGGTGATTGATTTTAGAATGTGCTATCAAATGTGTGATATCTTCTCTCAACAAAAAGGGAAAGGTGGGATCAAAAAATAAACAGCAAGAGATTGATTTGCATGAAAAAATAATCAGGAACAAGATGACTGATAGTCAGGTAGATAACTTACTTTCACTTTGTTATATGGAATAGTAAGGGATCCCAAATGTTTGATTTTGCAAAGAGTTCTTAAGGAAATCAGAAGAATCTTCAAAACAGTAACTGATATCTAGCAAGTAGACCTCTGACCACTATGTTCCACAGAATCCAAGATAGGGGTTCCATAATAACCATCGCATAACTTCCATAAACTTGAATGGATCAATCTTCATCAAAAATCCCACTAAATATGGTTATCCCAGCAAGTATTCTACTGAATATGATCGTGTTCCAGCCTAGGTCATCAAATCTCACTAAAACAAAATCCCAAAATATAATTTAAACATCATATCAGTCTAATGGCTCTCATAAAACCAAATTATCCACCATGAAACATCTCAAACTAATCAATCCTTCACCAAAACCGAAGGACATGACCATTTCCATCATTCTGGATCCTTCTTCAGTAGCTCATCATTCCGTTGGCAAGCTGACAAAAGAATCAACTCAACCATGCAATCAAGAAACAACATTTTTTTGTCAATGCATCTGCCATGCAATGAATGGACAAACAGCAGGACTTCTTAAACTTGTTTCAAATAGTCAGTCATGCAGTCGAGGATTTGTCCAAGTCCACTCAGGTGAAACCTTGTAAACCAGAGAACTAGGACTACTGTCAGGTGCTTTAATGTTGAAAACTTTCAGTGCTTGTGCCAGCAGGTGGCCTATGCCCATTCCTTCCATTGGAGTTACAAAGCGGATAAAGAACAGTGAAAACAAGGAGAGAGAGACAGAGAGAGAGGAAACAACTCCAGCAGCTAAAAACTAAATATATTCAATGTGCAGGTCTGAAAAGATCCACATATAAGCATTTCCAGTTTCCAAGAATAGACAGCTCTGCTACTAACTGTTAAAGGCAGATTTTAGATTAACAAAACAGTCACTGGCAAGCTACAAGGCACCCAATTCTGTATTGCCAAGAAGGCACTGAATCTGTCCTCTTCCATGCAGAATGCAGTTCCGATACATCAAAGCAATAAATACAATATAGGAGTCCTGAGGCTTCCAACAGACACAAGTAAATGCAAGGGATTTACAAACAAACAAAGCCCACGAACAGGGTGACCTACATATGCTGGAATGCAGGATGCAGTATGTGATTTAATCAATGTTAACGAGCCATATCCATGGTCTGAAAAATTATCCTGAACACTGAATGGATAAGTCCACCAACAGAAATCTTGTTATCGGTAATAAGCAAGAAGCTGAATGCAGTTCAAAGATGAGGAGTAAATGCAAGGATGAAAAGCTGGAACCTCAACTCGAACAGCACTACATGGTAAAAGGATCCATTTCCATGCAGAAAGAGACAGCTTTAACTGCTTCACATGAGTTGCAGCATCAAGAATGATGATGCATCAGAACTAGGTTTCTATACTTGGGACAACCATGAATGTATCTCACCCAAATTACATATCAAAGTCAAAATTTGCACATGCGCACCATAACAAAAGAGGTCAGAACGTAAGGGATGCAGCATTTCTGATTATCAGTGGAGGAAAAGTCAAGTCAAACGGCAAAGAGACAAGATGACATAGAAGTCCTAACAGAAATTTCCCGGATGCTATACCATAGAGTGATAATCAAACAGCACTAGGTAACCATCGAGCATCTCAGAGAATGAAAGCATGACATAAAAGCCCATTAAGAAACATCCAAGAAAGAACCGCATAGACAAGTGTCCAGCTTGAAAAATCTTCTCCCAAAACCTTTTTGATGTTCTGGTTCTGGTCCAACTAGCATGGGAAACACCATCTGAAAGAGAATGTACGTGATCCTTGATAAATAAAGCTCTTCGTGTAAATGACATTTCAGGTAGACTCCTCAGTACATCATCCATGAATCCAGATCTACTGTAACTGTCAAAGCCAATCAATCACTTAACCAGAAAAACCACAATCATGTTCATTCCCACCTTTTCCAACAACATATCTTCCTCAAAAAACAACTCTTTACCCCGATAGCCATTTTTTTAAAAAAAGCCAGGTGTATTAACTTCAAAATTCCACATATCCAGAAACCACTGCTACATCCTTGCTTGCAAAATTAAAATAAGGATCCGACCAAACTAATCTAACCCATCAAACAAATGTCGCTGTGCTTCAGCAACCACTCTGGTGGAAAAATATCTCTAAACACACAGCATCTCAAAAGATCATAAATCAGCAAACCAAGAACAACAAAGGGAAAGAATTAATAAGATGGAACTATAAAGATAATTCAGAGAAATTATAATTATTATCCTCTAAATCAACGAGAAAACAAATAGAAACTTTAATAAATAATTAAAAAAACACAGAGACAAACACACTTTATCTCTCTTAAGATTTTTATTTATTTAATTGAAATGACCTATAAAATTTCAAATTTTCACAACTTATTTTCCCTCGTTTTCTCACCAGCCAAACAGAATCTCTTAAGAAAAGAACAAAAAAGAACCGTACCTGACTCTCAACGATTTTTCCAAAGCGATCAAACGCATTCTCGAGCTGCCGTTCAGTGATGTCCCATGACAAACCTCCGACAAATATCCGGTTCTCTTCCTTTCCGGCCATTTCTCTCTCTATATCATATAAAAACTGCGCAAAACGATCCCCTTTTTGGCAAGAAATTGAACAGGCGAAAGAGAGAAACAAGAAACAAGAAATAAGAGAAGGAAAGAGAAGAAATTTGTTACCTTTTTTTGTGCGATCGCGTGGAAACCCTAAAAAAATCTTCTTTTTTGTTTTCTGAGAGAGACCTTATCAGCATCTTCCTAAAGATGGACCCTGGACCGTGGGCTTATATTCAATTTACTGCGGGCCTGTACTCATGGCCCACATAATAATAAAAGCATGTTAGATGTAAATAAAAAAAAAACAGATTTTATTTAAATTCATACAAACTTTATAAAATTTATAAACACGATAATTTCTCCTTTTTCATGTTTTGTACATGGAATTTGAATTTAAAATAATAAATTCTTTTAGTTCTAATTTAAATTATTCATCACTAAACAGAAGTAAATTCGATAAGTTTAGTTTTTCCACTGATTCTCGAATTTGAAATTTAAACTTAACATCTCATTATGTAATTTATTTATCAATAACCTATAAGATTAATGTTGTGGGACTCTGTCTTTATTATTATTGTTTAGGAAATGTATTTTCATCTAAATTGATATAAGTTAATCTAAATATATTTCTCCTTTTCTCCTGTTGTAAAAAAAATAATGTCATAACTGGCGGTTTTTTCTTGCAGGAATTTGACACGGAGACATGATGGTGTATGGAACAGCGTTGATGTCTGTTCGAACCCTCATGTGTTCCAACATTAGGTTATTTCTCTTGAACTTCTCGTTTTTGTTTTAGTAAGAATTAATTTTTATAGGCTTCTTTTACTCAATGTTTTTGTTCATATTTACAGTACATTTGAAGTTGTAACAGTGATAATTCAACAAAATTTTATTGAGAGATGTATTAAAATAATTTTTTTTAAATAAACTACTTTTAACATTAAAATATAAAAATAATAAAAAAATATACATAAAAAAAAATATTTAAAAAATTTAAAATTTTAAAAAATATAATTTACATCATGTTTCCAAACACCCTGTTCATATAAAACAAGCAATAATTGTTGGTTCGAAGGAAATTTCGATTACATGGTCAACTTGAGATAAGATGCATCTGATTCGGGTATGTGAAATAGATTTTGTAATGACAACATGGCATATGGTCTGAATTGCAATGAGAGATTATGATTTTCCATTTGATGAAACAGTGACAATAATAGAATTACACATTAACAACGTTAAATAATTGCATCTCAAGAGATACATAATTTACACGACTGTACAGGAAATGAACATGTATCAACCAGTGGTTGCAATGAAATTTGTAAGAATTAGGAAGGTGGTGTAGATTATTCAGGAAGAAGGGGCAGCCTGGTGACACTAGTGCCACTGCTTCCAGTTAATGATTCCAAGCTTGTCACTGCCTGTGAAGTTGAACTAGATTTTGGACGTCTAGATGTTGTTTTCTTGTTTGTCCTCATGGGAAGAATCTGCAACCTAGGGTTAACTTCAGTGCCTGAATTTTCTGCTGTTAACTGATAGCTTTCCACGAGCTCTAGCTGCCGAGCAATTATTTCAGAGCGTCTAGGAAGAAGCTCCACTGGCTCTCCGCCAGGGATGACAATATACTCAATTGCCAGGCGAACCTCCTGTAAGAGAGGAGAGGAGTTCATACAAGAATGCAACACCTGAATGCTTGGATTTTATGAAACAAATTGAGAAGACAGAAAGCAAAATGCTCAAAGGAATTGCACCTCCAAGGCATCAATCTCTTCCAAGGTAGGTTTCCTTTTTGGTGCATCATCTTCAATTTCTATGTCGAAAGAACTTTTGAGTGGCTGTTGTAATGAAGAGCCAAGCGATTCCATTCCAAGAATCATACGAAGTGCCTTCACCATTTGTGCCATGGTATTTGACTGCAAAACCATGATAACGTTAAATATACACCATCTGTTAATAGAGGAAGATTTCAATATTCTTGCAATATTTTTTCAATGGGTAAAATTTTAATCGCAACTCGTAACCTTCTATGGAACATTTCTGATCCTAAAGCAAAGCTGGCGTGCAAGTAAATATATCATCATTAATGGGAGCTTGTTCCAAGTTCGAACATAAATAGTCAAAGTTGTTAGGATATCATGTTGTAACAAGTATAACTACTTCACAATTGAATGAGAACAAACGATGAGCAATACCTTGATAACAAATACAGGTAAATGGTGGTATTTAGCAACACCACGGATCCATGGGTTCTGCTTCATTTCTGAACTGGATGCTAGTATTGCATCTGCTGCTCCAATGTCATCAGTCACATCTATCTCATTCTCTATCGCCATTACTTTTGCCACTTGTAGTAGATCAGAATCAACAATCTAAGGCACAACAAAATACAACAGAATAATTGTCAATGCCATCTTTCAATTTTGATATTACCAGGAAGTTTGTCACTCTTGGAAATATTCTTTTGAAATCTGATAAAAGATTAAAACTACCTGCTCTGATTTTTTTTTTACTCCCTAAAAGCAACTTCGAAAAAGTCACAAAGCAAAGAAACTTCAGGAAGGAAACTTTGACTAGTTTACCTTGCAAGTGTATACGCATACTGGTGAATTCCTCTTGCGCTCAGTTCCACTGGATTTCCATGTTTTGGATCGTTTTGGACGATAATCTTCATCTTCCTCATCAGACTCAATTTCATCACATCTTTCTTTATCACTAGCTATCACCTCAGTTTCTTCTACGTAGTTCTCTTGAGGTATTGAAATGGACTTGAGAGAATCATCACTTTCTTCTATAAGGTTCTCTTGAAGTATTGGAATTAACTTAAGAGAATCATCACCCTTAGTATCTACGTGTCGGATTTCAAACAGAGGAGATTTTCCTATTACAGAAAAGAAGTTATGGGGGTACAACATTGTGTAATAAGAGCTTCCCAATTTAAAATATGACATACCAGCCAATATAGCATCTACTGTAGCATCTAATCTGTGATGAACACGACACTCTGTTCTAGTTATCATCTCAACAGCACATGTAAATGTTGGAGGTCCTTTCCTCTCAAGAATTGTCTTCTGCACTTTCCTTTTCCTTGCTTCCTCATCCCCGAGAGTTACACTCTGCACACAAATGAATAAACATCAGATTAATCAGAAACTTTTGTGCACAGGGATCCCATATGTATGTGACACCATACAAAGTGGAACCAAGTAAAAATTATGTTGATGGCACAGTCAACAGACAGCATAATCTTGGTAGAAGTATAAGCACATCAACATGAGATTGTATAATTAAATAAAAAAGGTCTAATCATACCTCTATGCCTCCAACAAGAATCTGCAAAGAAGGATTCTTTATTATGTTGTCTATGGTCATTCCATGGGCTGTTCCAACCAGCTGAACTCCACGTTGAGCAATAGTGCTGGCAGCTAAGGCTTCAAGCTCTGTTCCAATCTCATCAATTATGATGGTCTCGGGCATATGATTTTCAACTGCTTCAATCATGATCTGCATGGAAGTTCATAGAGTGATGGTATAAAACAAGTGAAGCTTCTAGTGATTTGTGCAATATCACAGCAATGAGGCTTTTTGATGCTCACATTATGCTGCATATTAACATTTGGAACTTGCATCCTCCTTGCACAACCTATTCCTGCATGAGGAACATCCCCATCACCCCCAATTTCATTTGATGTATCTACAATTACAACACGTTTTCGCTGGTCATCTGCCAACATTCTGGCTATTTCTCTGTGCACACCAGAAAAAAGAACAAAAGAAAGCAGGCATTAACACAGGGTTATATGAAAATATTTGAATTCTCAGCACCTCAAAAGATTTGAATTCTCAATCTCTCAAATTTATCCTAAGAGTTTCTATAAACTTGAATGACTAGACTATCTCCATTTATTCTCTTTTTTCCAGTTTTCCCATTACAGAGCATAACATATGGGGATCCAAGTTCATGATAGATATAACATATAAAGTTGAAGGAAACAAAAATAAAAATGGCAAGTGAAATGGGATAAATTATCATAACTAGTATAAAGAATTCTCAATATTACATAGTTTTTAATGGAAGAGTTATACAAGAACTATACACATGCATGTGTTCAGCAGTACCAATCTAACATCCATTAAATAATACTCCAAAATGAAAATCATCTCAGCATCTCAATTCTAAAAACATGAAAACACCAATACCTGATTAAGGTTGTTTTACCCACTCCTGGACGACCTATGACCAAGATAGAACTCCCCCCCTCAACCAAGTCACGGATAATTTCAGCACTTCCAGATATAGCACGACCAACCCGACAAGTAAGGCCAATAATTTGCATCTTACGGTTTCGAATGGCACTTATACGATGCAAAGAACTATCAATACCCGAACGGTTGTCATCAGAAAAATCACCAACCTAATCACAAACAACAACTAACTTCAGACAAGAGTTTTACTGCAGTTTCCTCCCAACAAAATCCTAACGCTAACACCATATTTCATGTAGATGAATCAATAACCAGCATAGCCAATCACACAAATGTCACTATTGAGATTCCTCGACAGAAAGGCATTGTTGGATCACTTTCATTCTACACAAGCTTAACTAAAACATACAGTTTTGGATTTGCACTACAAAAAGTGCATACACATGCACACAGTGTCACTAATTAGCTATAACACAAACAGAGAAGCTTCATATATAAAAAGGCTAAAAGGGTGTCAAACCTCACAACTAGGTAATATTTAATTATATATTCACACAAATAATGCAACCATAGGATAGAAATAAAAAAATAAGTCTAGCAAATAAAGCAATGTCACGATAAAAAAAGTAATCAAATCATTTGCTTAGATAATCTTCCATTCAAAACAGACAAACTAATAAAGACACCAATAAATAAACTTACGTATAAATTCAATCAAATCAAAACCTTGAAAAACAAACGATTAAATTCCTTCTTAATTATCACCTTTGATATAGCATGCTTTAAATCCTCATGCCTCACTGGCTGCTCACAAATGACAAAATCCCCAGATGGAAATCTGGCAATAGGCTTCCTTCCCAAATCCATTACCACTTCAATCAACTCACCAATCTCTCTGTGCCGAGATAACTCACTCTTCATTCTCCACGGCAACAATTCAAGAAACAAATCCAACTCGCTATTACTATTCACTGAACTCGAAGTAGAAGCGGAATTCTCCAAATCGATCACCGACTCATTTCCTGTCCTGTACCGATCCCCCGGTCTCCGTATCTCCGGAGCCCGTACAAACGACGGTGTGGGTGACTTTGAGGAGGCAATTCGACGCTGCACACCACGTGTTTGACGAAATGATGAAGTGATTGTTGAGAGGTAAGTGAGGGTTGTTGATAGTGGGATTTGCCGAGCTGAATAACATGAGCTTTGTAGATCAATGAGTAAAAAACGCGAATTCATTGATCTCATTTTCTTTCAAGGTTTCTGTTATTGTTATGAGTCGTCTCTTGTTTTTCTGTTCGGTGTTTTCTGATTTTCGCTTTTTTTGAAGCGGAGCAGAATGGAGAGGGGGGGATTTGTAACGGAGGAAGATTCGAAGGGATCTCCTCTTGGATTGGAGAAGAGAGTGGAGTCCACAAACAAAGGTAGAAAGACACTACGGGACGAACAACTAACGACCGCTCGTGTAAGAGAAATGAGGGGACACGTGGTGGCTGCGGACCACATGTTCTGGCAGAGAGGAAGTTGGTTTCGTGTTGTGTTTGGAGACTGGGCTCCGTTGAATGGAACTCTCAAGGTGAGGCCCTTCTTCAAGCCATCTTGTTTTTTATAATCGGTTACCTTGTTATGCTTATAAATATTTTAAATTAACTAGTATTTTATTAAATTATTTAATTGTACTTTTAAGATATAAAATGATTATTAATTATCATGAAAATATTATTAAAAATATTCTTATATATATAAAGTAATTTTTTATTTCTTAAACAAATGTGATATATATACGTTTTTCCTGTGAAAGTGATTTTTTTATCCAAAAAACTATAAAAAATTATTAGAATAATAATATATATGATAAAATAAGCTGTATAAAAATATTGAAATATAATTTCATAAAAATAAATATAGAATACTTGTTGTGTGATTAAAGAATACCAAGAAAAACTATTATTTCCATTAAATAATAAACTCCACGGAGAAGTAGATGTGTTTTTTGTTTACAAGCAAGGGTCATCGTACTTTGCTTCAAAATTAAATTCATTTTTTTGAAATAGTTTTTGTTCAAAATAGCGTTTTTAGTATTTTGGTATTTTAGTACATTATATTTTTTCAAATTATATTTTATATAAAAATATATAATTTTTTTTTTTATTTTTAACATTAGCATATTAAAATATAAACAAATAAATTAATTTATTTTTAAATAAAACACATAAAAAAATAAAAGCTAACAAACTTATAAACACTCACTAGAATATATGTTAAACAGTATCAAATATGCACTTTATTTGAATATATAAAGCCTCACATGAAGTATTTTAATCGCTGTGTTTAAAAATAAAAAGGATTTAAATGCGAGTGCTGAGAGACTTTTCTTTCCTTTTTATTCAAACAGCAATCTTCAAAGCGGGCAAGGGAAAACATGAGGGAAGGACAAGGGGGATTTTCCGTCTGCTTGAAGCATAATTCCTTTTCAGCCAATGAGATATTTTCTAATGCAAAGGGATTTTTAAGTATGGTGGCTGGCTGGTCAGAGTTCGTGTTTAAAAGACTCACTGCCATGCTAATAACATAAAAGCGACATAAAATAATTTTTTTTAGTTGTTTATATTTTTTTCCCATGGCCTTTTCAGTAACTTCTGTAATTGCAATAGCAGATGCTGTAATCATCTGGGAGTTGTTACAGTGAGAAGGATTTGGAATTAAAAAGTTTGTTTTATGGTTTTATAATTTTAGGTTGAATCCCGTGGTCCCTTGTAAGATAATTATTTAAAATTTATATAATTATTAATTTTAAGATCATATAATTAGTTGTGATGTGTAAAAACTGATTCAAGTATTTACATTAATAAAAAAATAAAATAATATATGTTACCTGCATTAAAAAAAACTTTAAATTATATACCAATAAAAATAAACAAAAATATCTTATATATTATTTTTTTATATTTTTCAAAGCAAAAAAAATATAGAAACAATAAAACTAGAGAGTACATGTCATTTTATACTTGTGTTTTAAAAAGAGATAAAATTATTATAAAATAATTTTATTTTATATCCATCTTTCAGTCTTTTCAACCAATTATTATTTTTTATCTGGACACTTTTTTTTTTAAATACTAATCAAACATTTACTTATAAAATAATGTATTATATTTCATTTAATTTAGTAAGTTTTTTAAGTCAGAAGTCGAATTCCCATTATCATCACATGATAGCTCTCGTATTTCATCACTTAATATTAACAATAACGAAGCATTCTGTATTCTTGAAGGTTTTGACCATGGACCGGTTTTCAAAAGAGGCCAAGGAACAGACACTGACAGCGAAGAAGATGGCCACAGCCCACAGGAAATGATAAAAAAATTAAAACAAACAAACATGGACGCCCCTGCCCACCCTCTTCATTATCTGGGCCTCAAGCCCTCATCCGACCGATTTGGGCCACCTCGAGAGTTTCAGGCCTACCCAACCCGACCATCAATAGCTCAAGAGTTAATTGTAAATTGGACCTGTAGCTCGTCAAAATGATCTAGTTATTCCCCAGGATAAGAGAAATGAAGTAATAATCCTCTCCATTTAGCCTCCATCTCTTACTGTTTCCCAAATGATGCACTCTTTTTTCTAGTAAAAAATCCCAATAATGAATAAATTTTAAGTTGCAAAGACAATTGAATGAAATGAAACTTGCAAGGACTTCAAGGTGAATACATGTAGGATCTTAGTTAAAGTAACTACAGTAAATTTAAAGGTTAAAAGTAAATTTTAATTAGATTCCTCGAGTGACTAAAATTAATTGGTTGACTGACAAGCCAGCCGAGGAGAACATGGAGCTGCTTGGCAAAACTGGCAAGAGTGATGCAAAGTCATCAATTCATTTCTCTCTATCCTACAATTGAGTCGACCTCCAAAAGGAAGTGGTTGTATCCAACCTGTGTGTCTGTGTGTGTGTGTGTGAGTGTGTGTGAGTCTTTTGGGTGCGGAGAGAATGGACTCCTGTGTCCGACCAGCTTTAGTGCCTTAGAAGAGATTGGAAGGACCGAATCCCCGTTATTACTATTACTACCATGATGGTATTTTTCAATTAGTTTGTGTTTTAACTAAAACAAAATTTTATTTATTTTCTCATAAAAGTATGGTATATTTTAAAAAATTAATAAATCTTTCTCAATATTAATTTAAAGTTTTAATCTAAAAAATAAAATAATATGACAAACATTTCTAACCATTAAACTAACCCTTTATATTTAATCCCCACCACTTAGAAGTGCATGCTAGCAAGAAAGTATGCATTATACATTGCTTGCCACGTCTCCCCAAATTCTAGAGGATTCCATCTGTGCCCTTGGCATTGTTTATTTTTAGGATAATGCTGTATTTTTTTAAAGTATTTTTAGATTATTGTGATATATTAATATTAAAAATAGATTTTTTAAAATAAAAAATATTATTTTAATATATTTTCAGGTTAAAAACTCTTTAAAAAATATATATACCCCCCCCCCCCCCCCCCCCCCCCCCCCCCCCCTCAATTATCATAATCATCTCTTCTTCTCCAAACCCACCCATCCTGCTCACTAGCCAACTCTTGAGATATACCAGGGAATGTTCCCTACAAGACGGACTTTTTTCATGCCACAAATGGGGTCTCAAAGAAGTAATCAATGCTTGACAATAATAATACTCTTCGTTGCAATTATGTTTGTATCATCTTCAAAAAATATGTCATCAGCGAGATCAATAGATCAAGGAACAGAGCAATTCAGAGGAAAAATTTAAATTTCGATCTCTTCAAGAAAGGGGAACCAGCCATTGTAGTAGACCATAGCTGTAGTTCATAAACAACCAAATAAATATGGAGCTGTAGTTCATAAACAACCAAATAAATATGATCTTATTCTTACCTTCCAAAAGCACCATAGGACCTTCAATGTCCCAAAGAACCAGACTTTCAGCCTTGTTCACAAGTTGACATACAGAATGGCTTGTTTTTCAAGGTCCTTGCCTTTGCTTTTAGACTCTCCGCTTTCAAACTTCAAATCCGCGGCTTTCAGTCAAACTATAATAATAAAAAAAAAATGCTTATCCTTTTGGCAAATATAAAGATACATCTGCTCCTTTTGCCTATGATTCATAACCGTACCAGACAGGCAGAGAGCTAATCCTCTTCATCTCCATAACCACCCACCCATCTTGCTAACTAGCTACCTCTTTACACAAGCCTAAAACATCTTATTCCCTGAAAATCCCAGATTTTGTCTTGCCAGAAATGGGGTCTCAACGAAATAATAATTACTTGACAGTAATACTCTTGGTGGCAATTATTTTTGTATCATTTTCTAGACTTGCTTTGGCAGCGAGGCCATTAGATCAAGGAGCTGAGCAATGGTTAGCGAAAAATCTTAGACTTCAATCTCTTCGAAGGCGTTCAGTTCAACCTCCACCGGGTCGTCAATGCTATAATAAAGGCAGAGGGTGCTTAGGTGAAATCAGTGGCCGAGGTTGATGATTTTTTCTTGGAGGTCTGCTTCTATAAACAATTTCATCTACTAAATTTTCAAAGTCAAAGTTATGAATAAGCAATCCAGCGAGTTCTTGGCTTCACGCTCGGGAGAATTTCCTTAATTTTATTGCTTTTGGTTTTGAAAATACATGTGTACTTGAACATCTGTGAGCTGCAATAATATCTTACATGATTATCAATCTAAAATGTAGTTTTGAGCATATTTATGAATTCTGGCGATTTCTGCAATTATCACTGATGAACTGAAGGAAATCCGATTGAAAATTAATATTTCCAATGCTTGATGCCTCGTCCATTGAGCATAGGAAATATCACTAATGAATTGAAGTAGCCTAAGAGATTAAGACTATTTCAACACTATTCATTTACATAAAAAATTGTTTACTTTTCAAGCTCCGTGGCTTTGATTTTGGATCCTCTGCATTCAAACTTATGATCTGCTCTTCGTAAACAATAATTATTTGATTGGGATTCAAGAAAGCTAATAGATATATTTGTTGTGGTAATGGCCTCCCTCTGCAGTCATTTTAATCTTAGCATACAGATAGATGTGGGATCATGGGGGTAAACCTTGTATAGGGCGAAAGATTGAAAATGTTGCATTTCAGCTATTGACACAGCAGCGGTTGCGACTTTTAAATATAAAAAACTTCATAATTATAAAAAAAATAGAATTTCTAAACTGAAAAAAAAGAACATATATTTATGTTTCCACAAAACTCATGCATCAAAGATGAAGGATTAGGCGTACAAGAACAATGCATGGCTTTAGTCAGGCACCAAGCATCCAAAATCCAAAGGCTACCTAGTGATTCAATTTTTTATTTTTTTGGTCTTAAAAATAAATTTTTGTTTAATCAAAACCCAAACAGAACAGGATTACGCTCAGTCATTGATAAAACTGTTACGACAGAAAGAATCAATAGATAGGACCCTCCAACTTCATCTACTCATAGCAACAAGTTTACTCTTAATACGGAGCAAAAAGCCCTTAATTTCTTAAAATATCAACATTTTGTTGTTTATCAATGACACAAGGCAAGCAAGATCCTGGCATCATATAATCTGCAATGATCCAATCTCTAATTGATTCCCACATTTACACAGTTGCAGAGAAAGCAATGTCTGTTTCAAGAATTGAAAGCACAACACAACTGCACAAGCGTGTTCCTAAACTGATTAAACTCAATGCCTCCAAGTTCCCAGGAAACTGCTCCTGATTCGATGCAATTCAGCTGCAACATTTCTGATGTCCATACGCTCCCTTGGCGAGTCTGCAGAACACGCAAGTCCTAGGGTGATAATTGAAGTCAAACACTCTAGAATTTTGTCATTTCGGATATGGTTCATCATATGAGAGGCATCGGCATCTGTTTCCTCAACATCTCTAAATAGTGTAGGGTCCGCAACTTCCCCAACAAAGTCAGGCAATGACATTCTAACGTAACTGTGAAGGTTCAGTCCATCTTTAAACATGTCATCTGTAGGTCTCTTTCCTGTAATCATCTCCAACAACAGAATGCCATAGCTGTACACATCCCCGCAAGTTGACACCTCAGTTCCCGTACCATACTCTGCAGTTTGTCAGCGTGGTCAATCACAGTTTTTTATGACATTTGAAATTAATAGTAAACAGAAATAGAGTCAATCTTAAAAATATAAATTTAATCAGATGAAATTATTTAATATTGTAGTTTTACTACATTCATAGTTATTTCAAGACATGGATTTGTGCCTTTTGTTGGACGCAACATTGATCAAGTGAAGACGCACACAAATTTTTAAAAAATAATATAAATTATATTTTGAATTTTATATAATATCTTAAATTTTTGAAATGAGGTTTTTTATATGATTTTAAAGTTTTGATAATTAAATAGTCATGAGTTTGAATTTTATTATTTTCATTTTCTCTTTTAATTAAAATTTAATTAATAGCATAAGATAATATATGCTTATTTCAAATTTAAAAAGTTTTCAACCAAAAAAAATATTAAAAATTAATATAAATTATATCTCAAACTTTACCTCATAATTTAATTTCGAGATAAAACACAAACAAAGAAAATGAGCTTTAAATTTAAACTAGAGCCCGGAATCTAGACTATAAACAATGAGATATCCTTCTGATGTTACCGGGGGCTGCATATCCGAGAGTGCCTCTTATTCCAACAGTGCTTGTCAGACCCGAAGGTAACTGCCTCGGGTCCTCTGAAGGGAACTTTGCTAATCCAAAGTCACTAACATGGGCAGTCATATCACCACCCAGAAGAACATTGCTGGGCTTCAGATCACAATGAACAATAGGCATTTCACAATCGTTGTGCAAATAATCAAGTGCGCTAGCCACATCAACTGCAATGTTTAGCCGCTGGACGAGGTTCAGATTTCTTGGCTTGTGTGTTTCCTCCGATGTATGAACTGGACGCAACCACTCTTCTAGACTCCCATTGATCATGAACTCATAAACAAGAGCCTTGAAATCATTGCCTTGAAAATCAATGCTAGAACATACCGTTAAAATTTTGACGAGATTTCGGTGTCTGATGTTTATCATGGCCACACATTCTGCCACAAAGCTTTTTGAAGCTCCTTTATGTAGCAAGTTGAATACTTTCACCGCAACAATCGTTCCATCTGACGCGAGAACTCCTTTGTACACAGACCCAGAACTACCAGCACCAATTAAATTTGCAGAAGAAAATCCATCAGTTGCTCGAAGGAGGTCTTCGTATGTTACCCTTCGAAATGAGGTCTCCCATGAACTCCCTGAAGCAGGCTTATTTTCTTTTTTTCTTGAACAACAAAAAAATAACAAAGATATCATCAAGATTAATCCAAGAATGCTGAAAGAAATAGTGATTATCACTATCAGCTTGGTAGAAGGTTTTGGCTCTGTTGACTTATCGGAGATGCACTTGGACAGGTTCAGCTGTGGTATTCCACCACATAACTTGTTTCCCAAAATCGAAACTGCACTTGAATTCTCAAAGATACCAAGCATAGGCACCTCGCCTTCTAGGTCATTAAATGATAGATCCAAACTCCGCAACTTAATGTCTGTCAAAAACTTCGGAATTCGGCCTGTCAAGTTGTTGTAAGAGAGATTAAGATCTTGAAGTGCTCTCAAGGAACGCAGAGACTCGGGAATGGGGCCTCGGAAGAAGTTCCCATCCAAGTACAGATATTCCAAACTCACGCTACTGCCAAGACTCCTCGGAATTTCCCCTGATATCCTGTTTCTGGAGATGTCCAGTTCTCCAAGATTCACCAGCTTACCCACTTCTGAGGGAAGGGGACCAGACAACTGATTCCCAAAGAGGACCAAAAACTCTGACAAGGATGAAATACCAAGTACCTCTTTCGGTATCGGACCACTCAGATTGTTTTGAGGGAGAGCCAAGGTCAACAAGTTCTGGCAATTTCCAAGACTTGGTGGGATGCTTCCCTGTAAATTGTTGTATCCTAAATCAATTTCAATCAATGAGGTGATGTTCCCCAAGGAAGACGGTATGCTGCCTGATATTCTGTTTTCATTAAGAAACAAAACACCTAAATTTTGTAGTTTACCAATAGAACTTGGTATAATTCCGGTCAATTGATTTGCCTCCAAAGCCAAAGTATCCAAGCTTACCAGATTTCCTATCTCAGCTGGAATGCTTCCACGTATTTGATTTCTTCCGAATATCATCTTCTTGAGCTTTCTTGAGAAGTTACTAGCTATTTCAGGCAGCACTCCTCCTAGATTGTTGTCATTTATACCCAAAGCTTCCAAATTGGTGCTGTTTGCGAGGGGATAGAGAAAGTTCAGATCATCATCCTCGCCATCTCCGAGATAATTGGCTTGCAACGAAAGCCACTGTAGATAAGGCATGGCTAAATTGGGCACTTTCCCAGAGAAGTTGTTGGATGAAAGATGAACATGAGTAAGTTCCGAGGCATTTGAGAGTGTTGCTGGAATCAGTCCACTGAATTGATTGGTGTGAATTCGAATAACTTCAAGATTTGGAAGAGTTAGGCCTAGGTCCGGAGGAAGCTGCCCTTGAAACTGGTTTGTGGGCACAGAGAAACGAACAAGAGAAGATATATTGTACATGGAGGGAGGGATTATACCACTCAGACTATTTATGCCGAAAGAAAAGAATTTCAACCTTTTCAAATTCCCAATACTATCTGGAATGCTTCCTTGCAATTTATTCACTGCCCCACTAAGTTCCACAATAGATGAAAGATTTCCAAAAGAAGAAGGTATCTCACCTTCTAGATTATTCATTCTGAAAACAAACACCTGCAGCTTCGATAAGAATCCAAGCTCTGCAGGAAGTTTGCCCCTAAGATTGTTCCCCTCTAAACGAAGGTTCACAAGATTCGAGCACTGGGAGATATTCACTGGGATTGCACCAGTGAATGAATTGTTCCCAAGGACCAAGGTTTGTAGGCGAGACAAACGACCTAATTCTCGAGGAATCTCATGGCTGAAGTTGTTGTATTCCACTTTTAGCACCCTAAGAAAACTCAAGTTCCCGATGTAGGGAGATAGACTGCCCACCAGTTGGCTGGAGTGTAGATCAAGCTCTACGACCCTTTGGTGCCGCTTTCCACATGTAACTCCTGACCACTCGCAGAAGTGCAAGGATTCATTCCACGAGCTCAGTGTGCCAAGGGGGTCAGCAATCTGAGCCTTGAAACCTAGTAGGGAGAGTCTATCAGTCTCGTTTCCTCTTATAGGCAGTGAGAAGGAAACGGGGAGTTGAACTACTAGCAGGAAAACCGGAGACAGTATCCATTGCAACTCCATTTTTTATGGAAATCGTAGAGCTTAACTTAAGCGTGGAGGGTATCTTCTTCCTGGGTCGATGCTCGAGCGGTTAATGGGGATGGACTCTAAATTCATTGGAAAAAATATTTCCCACACTATTACAACGGAATCAATTTTTTTTCTGAACTAACGTAGTAATTAACACGCACATATAGAATATAAGCAACTAGCAAGTTGCGCATGTGACACCTAGCGTGTTATGCACGTGACACGTATTATTTCTAAACTCCTAGTTGCGCATGCGCACCTAGGTGTTTTGTGCACATGTCAACTAGAAGGCTGCGCATGTAGCACATGCGGAACTAAGAAATTTTCATTATTCCATGCATTTCTCGAATAATTAAACCATACAAAAGTTAACATTATTCATTTTTATAAAGATTTATTGACATAAAAGAAACAAAAATAATCTAATGGCTAGAAAAAATGATGACATGGAAAAAAAAGCCAAGAAAGGAGAGAAAAAAAAATTAAATATTAAAAAAAACCTGAAATTCGATAATACAATTTTCATTACTCGAAAAAATATTAATAAAATAAATTCTTAAACAATATAAAAAACCAACTTTGAAACTAATATTAAGTCACACGTGCAGTTTAAAAACAACAACTTCTCATTTGCTATTATTTCATTATCAATTATACTAATTTAAGAATTATTTTTTCAGTTGCGCTAATTTGAAAATTTGTATTTTTTTGTGAAGTTGCAGGAGAAAACTCTAAATTCGAAGTCAATAAGATTCCGAGCTTTGACGAAGATTGTTGTTAGAATATTTTTCAGCTTCATTAATAGAAAATAGCAACTTGTTGTGTCCCTCTGGTCATTTTTCATGGAATCCAGATCATCAATGTTGGAACTCCGGTCTTAAGGACACACTCCGGCGATGCTTGGGCTGGAAACATTGATTACCGCACATCAACCTTTGCATACATCAGTTTTTTAAGGCTATTTCTTGGAACTCAAAGAAAAAAAGAGCCGTCGCATGATCAACAGAGGGTAAATATATACCTGGCACTAGGTTTCCGAAACAATGTGGCTTTTAATAAAACTAGCATTTCCGGTGGATGAATCTCCCCAGCTGTTATGTGATAATCTCGGAGCCACACATCTCAGTTTCGACCCAATCAATCATTTGCGCATGAAACACATTCAGATCAATCTTGACTTTGTGCGTGACTTAGTGGAAAAAGGCAGAATCCGAGTCAGACATGTCCATACTCGAGATCAATTAGCTCAATAGCTGATATGTTAACGAAGCCCTTGTCAAGACAGCTCACGGCTTTACCATGCAACAAGAATGGTCTTGCCCGATGGCAGCTCAATCTTACAGGGGCGTAATGCGTGGATCACATTCAAACCAAAACAAAGCATGTATAGCTTAAAATCATGACAAATATTCTGTCATTAATTCTATATTTGCAGCTGATTCTAAGTGGAATTCTATATCTGTACAACGTAACAGTAGCATAGATTTAGCCTTAACATTTGTATAATTCCTAAATTAGCTTCTCAACTATTGTCTATATAGGATAGAATTCTTATCAATGAAAGTGGGGAAATTATTCATTGAAATTACTGCAATATCTGTTTCTTTATACCTTAGTACCTGTAATTTCTGGTGGCCGGATCACTGTAATTTTACAGTACACTGTGAGACACAGCCTTGTTGGTGTCTTTACACTGGGACACATTCTTGTCAACAACCAAAGCAGGCTTCATCAACAAGATTCCTAACATCAAACAATGATCAGTGTCCTGAGAAAATGGCAATGTCGTGAAACGCATGCCGTGAAGCATTTTCGTCATAAATATGCACACGTTATTGATCAAAAGTTGAAAAATCTTGTGATAGTCATGGTTGTGGTGAAGAGGTGATGATCGTAGTGTGATGGCGGCAATGATAACATGGCTTTTATCAAAACAAAAACCAAAAACATGAAGTCGTGAAAAGGATATTGACTTTTTTTAAAGAAAAAGCTGCATTATGTTTTTTTACATTTCGACTGGGGAGATAAAAGAACTTGTCGTTTCTCTTAAGAAATTTCTTAATCTGAATTTAACATGCGGTTAGCGCCTAGCTGTACTAGAGACTCACAAGGATAAAAGATGCTTTACAGAGATGGTGAGCTCCCCTAACTAAAGTTACCAGCTCAATCTATTTCCAAACCACAAATCCTTTTCTAACACCCTTCTCATCTTCCCTGGACACAGGGAAACCTTCCCCTTCATCGACTAGTATTCTGTACACGTCCCGTTCCCCACGTGAATCACATGTCTCTCCCTATATCTATAATTCCCAGATTTTTTTCTTGTCACAAATGGGGTCTCAAAGAAGTAAATCAGTACTTGACAATAATAATATTCTTCGTTGCAATTATTTTTGCATCATCTTTTGAAAATATATTAGCAGCGAGACCATTCGGTCAAGGAGCAGAGCATTGGTTAGGTAAAAATCTTAGATTATGATCTCTGAAATGGGGATCCTGTTCCACCCAGGTCTCGCTGCATATATTCCGGGCAATCATCAAGGGCACTGCATAAATGGGTGATTGCTACAACGGCTTCTAAATCATGGCTACTTTACTTTTTTTGTATTGGAAAAGTAATAAAGTGTTTTTATCCATGTGATTTAGTTAAAATAAATAAATAAATAAATTTTATCATGAAAGGAAAAACCGCTTAGGTGAAATCAGATGCAGGGGTGGATGATTTTTCCTGGGAGGCCAAATAGTGTGTCTGTGTGTTACTCTCGATGATCAATAACTAGTAGTTTGTATCGGTTGCAGAAGTAGGGTCTTATAACTATGGTTTATATGCGTGTAAGAGAATTTCCTTCCTTCTACTCTTTTTTTCGTTGAGCAAGTGTGAACTGCAATAAATATTTTACATGATATCAGACGTACCTAATTCAAATTCTGGAAATATCACTGATGAATTGCAGAATAAATATCACCATTTCTTCATCTGGATGCAAAATATATGGGTATTTAAAATTTTGCAATTTTTTCCCAGATCAACTGAAATTTTTTCGAAATATTTCATAATTTTCAAAACAATTTAATCCAAAAAAATCTGATCCTCTTTTCCAAGAACACCATAGGACCCAGTGTCCCTAAGAGACGAGACTTTCAGCCTTGTCGACGCGTTAACGTATAAAATGGTTTGTTTTTATAAGCCTGGCCTTTGATTTTAGACTCTCTGCATTCAAACTTCAAATCCGCGGCTTTAAAGTCATACTATCAATTTTTTATGACATTTGAAATTAGAAGTAAACAGAAATAGAGTCAATTGAAATTATTCAATATTGTAGTTTTACTACATTCGTGGGTATTTGAGGACATGGATTTGTGCCTTTTGTTAGACGCAACATTGATCAAGTGAACAAATATACATACAGATTTTTTTAAAATAGTATAAATTATATCTCAAGTTCTATCTCATATTTTAAGTTTTTACAATAATTTTTTTTTTTTACGTGGTATCAATTCTGCTTCGACATGGAAGGGATGTTAGCATGCTCAAATATATAAGGAATGGGTAGACTTCAAAAATAAACGCAGACAAATTATACCCTAAATGAAAAGCTAGTGAAAGTTTTGGCCCAGAAACTGTCAACTGTGCGTGAGAATAGAGGGCCCTTGAAGTCGTTTTCTTCTATCTGCACTAAACAAGACAACCTGCGTTTTCCTAATGGAAAGGGACCGCCTCAGAGTTGAATCAAAGTCCACGAGATTCCAAAATTCAATTAAGATTGTTGTTGGAATATTAATAAAATATAAGTCTTAATTTCTAATTCTTCAATTCACTTATAGAATAGTTTTTTTAGAACTGGATTCTAGATCTTAATTATCTTTTCTTTTTTTTTAAGATACAACTTCACCATCCGAGAAAGACTTCTAAATCTAAATTTAAAATTAATTTTTTTTTAAGATACAACTTCACCATTCGAGAAAGACTTCTAAATCTAAATTTAAAATAAATTAAAATATAATAAATATTTCATTATAAAAAGAATATTCACAAGCTTATAAATCATTGTTTTTGTAAAGAAAAAATGTCATCAACGTTTTTTTTTTTATTAACGTGGGTGTCCGGGTCAGCTTGTGCGCAGCATGACTAATCTCATGGCTCACTGAACATCTTGCAAGTCCAGTGAACAGGTAAGACACCGCGAGTTCATGGCTTATCAAACATCTTGTAAGTCCAGTGAACAGGTAAGACACCGCGAGGGTGACATGCGTACCACATAGAGAGGACCCAGTAGAGACACAAAGAAAACTGCTCTCCAGCCCCACTCCCACTGGGACTCGAACCAAAAGTCGAAGAAAGAAAAGTTGCGCCAACACCACTGAGCCACGACCTGATATGTTTATCAACGTTTTTTAAAGTGGATGAATGAGTTGATGATGCAGATGTATGAAGCGGGCCACATCAATCTTCCTTTCGAAACATCGATGAATATTTCTTATGATGCTGTCGATTTGCTTAAGCTACGGGAAGAACAGATTTGATTCTTATGAAGCTGATTGCTACTGGGATTCTGGAGAAGGAAATGGCTGGGGCTGGAGATTTGGTTGTTTTATAATTACAGTCTAGTGTTTTCCTGGGCCATCTCTTGGGGTGTGGGTCCCTTCTTTTCTTCTGATGTATCTGTCTTTTAGTGGTCCTTTGGGCTGCTTGTTTTGCTGGGCCATCTCTTGATAAGATTACCATTGTAAATGGAACTTGAAAGGAGCCGATCCCCAGTACTCCTGCTGTCACTACCAGAGAGAAAATTGATAAATAAAAACAGAAATATCAACGCTATTAAGCATTTTCGTAATTTATCCTGTGATAGCAACGGTTGTGGTGAACTGGTGATGACCGTAGTGTGATGGTGGCAGTGATAACACTACACGGCTTTTTATCGAAACAAAAACCAAAAACACGAAGTCGTCAAGAAGATCTTAGCCTTTTTGAGCGAAAAAATAATGCACCTGCATTGTGC